TTCGTTCGCTTATTATTATTAGGTATATATCTAGAAAAGGGTATGTATATCGCTGGAAACTCAGAGAGCGTTTTATGTTGTTATTTTATTTCCTGAGTACGGGTCTTCGACCAATTTCATATTATTGTTTTAATAAGTGTTTCAAAGTGAAAGCGATCAATTCTAGTGTGATTGTATGCATGTAAGTCGCATTGCAACTGATAGACGAATTGCGGGATTTGCCGTTTAAACTAAACTAATTATTACTTAAAATATTTAGTTGTACAAATGTTATCAAGTCACAAGTCATGATTTTCAATTTTATGATTAACCGATTTTCTAAGAACTGCTCAAATAGATTCTGGGAAAGTTATAAAATTTAAAGTATATCACTTTCACTAAAGATTATATCCTTGGATGAAATGGTGCTAACATTGCTGGTATGAGATGTAATGAGTAATGTTTACCAAAAACATACTATCGCTGCAGTGTCTACTGTTGGCATTGCCTCTTTGTGCTGCCGGTAAGTAGTTGATACATGTAAATTGTCAATTTTAATATCAGTTATTGTTCAGTTTTAAACAGGCCGCACAACACCCTTAAATATATGCTGCTAGACGATAATGATTTCACTGGGTTTAATAACGCTCCAACAGAAGACAGTAGTTAATGTCCTGCTTTGCCTTTGTTGATCCCCCACAAGTTGCCTATACGCGGATCTGTCTCACAGGAAAAACAGGTTTTTCCAACTAGACTAGGCCAGTAGCATTACAAATGCGTACTTCAGTTTTGCCGTACTGCTTGCTCTTTAAACTAACAGTACGCAAACATTTTGTAATGTATAAGAATGTGGAAAGTATTACGTATTTTCTGTTGAGAAATTAAAGTGCCAGTGATTTCCGCTGATGCACTTCTATTTACATTTTTATCATTCCAGATTTTTGAGGCTAGAACCATGTTATGTCTCATCGGGCGCGAGACTTGTTTCAACTGATAACTGACAATGGGCCAATGCCACAGAATAAAGATCAGCCAATGCGCTGAAAGGGCATGTATATGATGCACTAGTAGGGCCATGTAATGGTGCTATGCATATATCGCTGTCTGATTTTCAAAACAAATAATATCACCGGTTGAATTTGAAAACGCTGTCAAACGTTGGGATTTTGCTTTAACAGTACACGCGTACAGTACATGTCGCGGCCACAATTTATACAGCCGAGTTCGTTTGGCGTCAAATATCGTTAATATATTTTTAATGACGCCAGTTCAACGCAATGTCACCTGTCAGAATTTACTTTATCTCATTCGTGGTGACAAACTGAAAGTCTAAATATTCCTTAGCTTGGTTGAATATAATAGAATTGTGATATCACGCTGTGTCTGATAATTATCCCAGCGTGATATCACTATTACTTGGAAACACCAATACCAAGAAATAGATAGACGACGTGATATGTGATATCATGTTTCATAATAGTCGACAATAACGGAAGTGAATATTCCAATACCTAGCAGCCTTTTTCCGAGTAATCAAACAATAGGGCCATCATGGAATTGCATTTTTACATTCCACACGGTCTAGTATGTTTTCGGCCCATAAACAACAAGATTAGGGTACAAACTGAAAGTCTAAATATTCCTTAGCTTGGTTGAATATAATAGAATTGTGATATCACGCTGTGTCTGATAATTGTCCCAGCGTGATATCACTATTACTTGGAAACACCAATACCAAGAAATAGATAGACGACGTGATATGTGATATCATGTTTCATAATAGTCGACAATAACGGAAGTGAATATTCCAATACCTAGCAGCCTTTTTCCGAGTAATCAAACAATAGGGCCATCATGGAATTGCATTTTTACATTCCACACGGTCTAGTATGTTTTCGGCCCATAAACAACAAGATTAGGGTACAAACTGAAAGTCTAAATATTCCTTAGCTTGGTTGAATATAATAGAATTGTGATATCACGCTGTGTCTGATAATTGTCCCAGCGTGATATCACTATTACTTGGAAACACCAATACCAAGAAATAGATAGACGACGTGATATGTGATATCATGTTTCATAATAGTCGACAATAACGGAAGTGAATATTCCAATACCTAGCAGCCTTTTTCCGAGTAATCAAACAATAGGGCCATCATGGAATTGCATTTTTACATTCCACACGGTCTAGTATGTTTTCGGCCCATAAACAACAAGATTAGGGTACAAACTGAAAGTCTAAATATTCCTTAGCTTGGTTGAATATAATAGAATTGTGATATCACGCTGTGTCTGATAATTGTCCCAGCGTGATATCACTATTACTTGGAAACACCAATACCAAGAAATAGATAGACGACGTGATATGTGATATCATGTTTCATAATAGTCGACAATAACGGAAGTGAATATTCCAATACCTAGCAGCCTTTTTCCGAGTAATCAAACAATAGGGCCATCATGGAATTGCATTTTTACATTCCACACGGTCTAGTATGTTTTCGGCCCATAAACAACAAGATTAGGGTTCGGTCTGGTTTCACGCGTTTATCCATTTAACAGTATATGTCAGCATACATAACAAATGTTCTAAGAAAAGTATACATGGGGAAAATCAGGAGTAAAATTAAAGGCGGTAATGAATGATGATTTCATGGTTAAAAATTACGGATTTTAAGGGCGATTCTGAAAAGTCTGTCATTTTAAAAATTTCTAGTATATATTCAATTTCACTCTATTGCCGTGTTTTCACGTTCCTTTTTAATTTAAACCACTCTCGCCTGTATTCTAAAAGCTCACTCACACTCAATCCGGCTCACACTCAAAGAATGGAGGTTCAATCTGAGCTTTCCTTGAGTGTCTGTGCTGTTTTTGACTAGCAGGAGGGCTAATCTCGTACCTTACCATGTGACTACTCACCCTCCAGCTATTCAAAAACAGCACTGATAGTCAAGGGAAGCTCAGATTGAATCTCCACTCTTTGAGTGTGAGTGAGCTTTTAGAATTTAGAATACAGGCGTGAATCATGAGTGGTTGAAAACATGGTTACAGAAAACTGACGGGAGTAGGAAATTGCGATTAACCATGGCGCGATAACGGGTTTTATAACTCACTACAGGATTCTGTATATAATAATGTAATATATTTAGTCATGTACGCATGTAATCATGATCGTATAGTAAATAGACTCTGGCCTCAAATTGATAATAATGGATATCGCGGCAATAAGAATTATTAATCGGGACTGCCTCCTCCGCAGGCTCTTATTGTGGCACATTTTAGTGACACTATGCTGCGATGCACTTAAGTGATGGGATGTGCAATAAACTAATCATACACCCCCACCCTGTACTGGAGCTCACTTGAAGCGACTACTGGGAACGAGGCAGTAATTGGGGGTCTAATTATCACCTGTGGCTTTGTTTAACTATAGGAGAATGTGATGGAACAAAAATAAGTGAAAGGATAAAAGAAACACAATCTAAATATGTATATGTCTTTCCCGGTAATCAGGCCATTATCAACTGGACATGGTGCAGTGCGGTGAACAGCACAATTACTGGTATTGTTATTTACAGAGTGTCCCGGGTAAATTCACGAATACTTCTGAATCATCTATTGTCAATGGATCTATCAAAGACTGTACACTATCTTAAAGACAACTCAAGGCATGAACTCTGCAGCGTCGAGAATAAAACGAGTTTTGAAGAGAAAACAGTTTTCATTATCAACAATGTAACCAAAGCAGATAGTGGTGCATACAGCTTACACATTCGGAGAGAAGGAGACAGTGATCTCCAAAGTGAAGTCAAAGTTGTTATTAAAACAACCGGTAAGCCCGAATTTAGTAAACATGTCCCTCGTTTGCCGGAATGGTATGGAAGGTAGAATGATTTTGATGCATTACACTAAGCCACGATTCTAAATTTTGATATTGTCTCAACTAAGGAGTACCAATAATAATATTTTAGTATCCATGTGGTTTATTTCAATTAATGCATAAAATTATCCTGTCATGTCTCCCGTCCCGGCAAAGCACCTGCTTCTTACGTATATATCACAAGGGTTTTTATTCCGGGCCTTAGACGACCCTGGCAAATTTGTCCGTCGATACATTGTTATCCATGCACTCTGTGTTTGAGAATGGCTGACAGTGTGAAGTCGGTCAAATGCCTAATATACAGGGAAAAACGTATTCCGGTATACAGGTACTATTAAGAGTAATCCACAGTTTGGAGTGCAAAATTTAGGGAATCAAATCTTTACTGGATTAACATGCAGGAAAGGCAAATTCCTATCTTCTCTGGGAATTTATTACAATAATTACACCCTGATACTTAACTTTAACTTCATTTAAAATTTAGACCCCACAGAAGAACTGCCTTTGACCACACCATGGAATGAAGCAACAAAATTAGTCTGGACTAACAATACAGATCTTCAATCCGATCATCAAAAGAGGAAGAACAAGCATTTTGCAATCTTAGTAATAGTGTCAACAATTGTAGTTTCGTTGCCGTTGGGTGTAATTATGACGATTGCTTTAATATTGTGTATAAAAAGGAAGAGAAATCTTAAAAGAAGTTTCGAACCTTCTGATCAGTCCGCCTTGGTAAAGGAAGAGTATGTTTAATTGACTTTAGATGTTGAGTTAAAAATACACTGTATGAAATGTTTATACTCAATTGGGAGTTTGTTATCTTTAGAGAATGGTATTTTGATCCATGCATACGTATACATATAATTTTAGTTTAGAAGTTGTATATAGTTTTTGCCATAATATAACATTGTGCAATTTTAAAATAGTTTTTGCCATAATATAACATTGTGCAATTTTAAAATTTTGACTGTATATGCTGTATATACTGTACATATGTAGTATAATTAATTGCAGTGAATCTCTTATACCAGAGCATTTTTCGAGATTGAACTTTAAATTAATCCCATTAACAGCAGGGCTTACGACAGAGAGAGTGGGTTAGCTGAATGTCTTTTGGTGGTTGGCTAGCGCGTTCGCTGCACCCTTAGTGATGTATAGTAAGCACTGTTGAGTGTTCGCCGGCGAGACTGAATAGCGAAATGAGTTGCTTCGAGCAATTGCACACTTGATGCTCATTACCCTCATTACTCTGCACAATGAATTGAACAATCCTAAAACTACATCTTATACTCTCTGCGCAACTATCCTCTCTCCTCCGCAGAGCCTCCTTAAGTATTTACAAATAACCGATATGAAGTTTCCTGAATAAAAGTGAGCGCGCGCGGTGTGATGGGAAGATTGAAATGAAGTTGGGGAGGCTCTGCCAGATAATGCGACGAAGTATGGTTTTTGAACCAAACCAGTTGTTTGACCTTTTTTTAAACTTGAAATCGACGGAAATGTGAAAGAAATTGAAATGAATCTTCATAATCGAAGTTCAATAGAGTAATTTTTATATTGAATTCACCCCAGGATACTCAAGTACGCCTGAAAATGAAAGTGGAAAACATGTTTTAACACCCCCGATGGTTGATCGAACTTCGCTACAAACGATTATATACGACGCCATATTGATTGCATTAACTCGCAGAGGCTTCCTTTATTTAGCTCATCCCATCACTCCTTACGCGCTCACTTTTCCCTCACTAGAAACTTCATGTAAACCTCTGCGGAGGAGAGAGGCAACTATCAACGATTGTTAGGCCTTTTTCACGAAAACCTAAAGCTATATATTTTCCAACTGGTATAGCCTTCCTGAAATCAGTGTATACATCGATTCTTTCTTCGTCGACACGCTTTCGCCTATAGAAAAGCAGTAAAACAGTGACTACAAGTCGTTTGCAACCTGAAACTGAACCATGATATAATCTAGTGTTATTTTGAGGTTATAGTCCCATGGCCATGTTTCTGTTTTATAGAAAGTTGTACTTTCTGGTGGTACCCTTTATAAGAGTTTTTCAGGTTTTTCATGCAGCTATATTTGTAGCATTGCTTGATATGACCGCGAACTCTACGCAATGAATCTACTTGAAAACGACTTGTGTTGAAAACGGCTTGTGGATTGTCTATTGCATCATAGCATTTTTTATTGTCGGCACAGAACATTGGCACTTAGCTGCAGGGACTCCGATTGTCGCAAAACTGTTGTCACGCTGTCGTTTTTCTGTTTCCATTAAAATACATTTGGTTGCGAACACCGCTCTGACGACAGTTACAACACGTTCGCGACAGTTACGACCAAAATGAAACCAGGATTTATTTTAACCAAACTGCAGTACGCCTTATCTTATGACGTTGCATGTAGGCATCCTTAAGGAAGGGGCTCCCGAAAGTTTTTAATACTCCCACCCCTTCCCAAGAGTTTTCATCTCACATACAGGTTGTCAATTAAGGTTGTCCTTTCAAAGTCAAAACCCTCGACCTCTAACCGCGAAAAGCATGATGGATTTGCATACAATCTGATGTAACTCATACTTCGGTCACTCTGTAGTTACGGTTGCATGCTACGTCAGTACGTCCCACGCAAGCCGGTAGAATTGATGGAATTTTCTACTTTTTAACGTTGAGGAATGTTGTTTGTGCTTATACTTAATTAGCGAAATATAACAACTACAGTATACTATTGGATAGTGCTAACATGCCCCATAGTGCATTTCGCGCTTAGAGGTCGACAGGAAAGTTTTTGACTTTACGTCATTCGCGTCTTCAATCTCAGGGAAGTCCCTTCGCGACGATGATGAATTCTTGAGGTATTTAAACGTTCTATAAAAGGTATTATTCATTATATAAACGTTCTCTGGTCTTCTGTGCTAACAGTATATATTTTTTGGTGGTGAACTCATCAATTTACTGTTATTGTTAACGTTAACTTTGTAACCAGCGGCCTCGTCGATTCCCTACTGAGTGAACTTGAGCATACAAATAAGGTCAAACAAGTGAAGTAGCAGGTATGAAACTTACTGTGGTGAAAGTATAGTTAACGCAGTACAGGACTGGATACAGTAGAAGAGCTTAATTACTGAGCGCCAAATAGACTCAAGACGATAAGCGCTTTATTTAAAGTAAATGCATTACTTTTTGTGCTAGAATAGTCGATAAAATATGCATGGCATGCATTTCACTTTTCAATGCACTGTAGCCTACCTATATTGAAATTATCTTGTGAGCGGTGATGGCAGTAGCCTAAACAGACTTGATATGAAATCTGATGGCAGGTAGGGATCGATTCGATCTGTCTGTAATTCTGTCTGATTCGATCATGTCCATGACAACTATGTTCAAATATTATTCATTTGTTAGATGAAGCTGAAAATTGGCTTAATACTTACACTAAATTAAACCTACTGTATAAATATATAACCATATATAATTATAACATGAACGAAATATTATATAGCCACTTGTTGCTCTATTGCAGGTATGTGTTTGTGGCTATAAGGTTTCAAATTACCATTTGAGTCCTTTTATAGCTAATATTTGGCAATGTCCTTCATTGACCATGACCTGCATATAATATGTGTGTTCATACGGCATACTCTATGTCTATGTTGTTCATTCACATACAAGGAAGAGAAACTTCATTTTCCCCTTGATCTGATGCGCGTGAAACCAAACATTTATATAGTAGCTATATATACTGCAATATAGCCAATAATATAAGCAATGTCTATGCATTTTGTTTTCTAATTGTATAAAAAGTCTAAAAACTTAGATTGTGTTATTCCAACAACAATATGTCAACATAATCGCTTTGACGAATGGGGGCTTAAAATTATAGCGGACCGAGGAACAAAACATATAGCCATAAATTGAAACATTACATACAACCAGTACAAGCAAGGCTTCGTTCCAAGAACCTTCCTCGCTCGAAAACAAAATGCCTTCATGGTGGTAACTGAGTGACATCTTCTTCTGGGCAAGTCTACCGACACGTGCGCGTTGTTGAGTTTAATATTTGCAGTAATATGTAACCATAAATGTCTAGCGCTCCGTTTAGGCGATCTGGTATAAGTCTGCGGTGATCAAAACCTTTAAGATCTAAACATAGTGCATTTTATTCATAAATATCGGCTTCAGAGACTAAAAGAAGCCTATTGAAAAATTCTGTCAAATTTGTTATCTCATCTATTAATCTACAATTAAAAATAGAGTTGAAATGTGACACCGCATACACGAGCCGTAACCTTCACATCACCATATTCCAATAAAAAATTAAAAGAGTTTAATGTCTCGCAATCTCGAACGGCCGGTGCCAGAAGGTAGCGACCAGAGGATAGCGACGATAACAAGACAGCTACGGATTGAGAAAGATATACAACTACTTGGAATGTATAAGCAGAACTTCGACGTTTCGAGCGAAGGCCCTTGAATTAACCGCCCTTCGTCGCGAAATTACTTATAGGGTGTCTATATTATATAGGGGATATTTTTGTCTCTTTCACTGTTAACCGCCTGTATTTTCTTCGTGAAAACCGTAACTGTCATTTTTCTTATACAGTCAGGGGCGGACATATCGATTTTGACTGGGAGGGTGTAATCGCGAGATGAGACCGGCTCACCACTGAAATGTGAATTCAGACCGACTCTTGGTGAGTTGTTGTGTTGCAATAAAATTGAGTACAAAGCATGGAAATTGATGGCATTTATTAGGAATTTTGCAAGAACACGTACAGTTTGCTGTGAAACGTTATATTTTTATTAAGTGTCCGCGCTTAGTCAGGTTCGACCACGGATTAGCGATTTCGTCAAGATCGATCGTGTCTGTTAGATCGCGCTCACACGCAAAGAGTCAAGAGTTCACCAAGGCGTTCCTGGTTCATTACTGAACGCATAACAGTTTTCACTGATTTCAGCATTGAAAAGGTGCGCTCGGCTGATGCGGATGTTACAGGAACTGCCAGGCTCGTAACTATAGGATTTTTGATTGACCGAGACTGTGGGGGTCTCCCCCAGAAAATTTTTGATTTTCTAAGGCTTAGAAACGCTATTTCCTGCATTCTGGGAGCAGTTCAAACGAAATATCAATGTCATAAACAGTGACACAATGACTATAACTTTATACTGTAGTTTTCCACCAATCCTGAGGCTAGAATTACAAATATTTTTGGTCGAACATCAGTGATCAGGTGCATAATAAAAAAGTGTTTGTGCTCAATTGTTGTAATATTTGGGCGCTGGCCCGCACGTTTGTTATTGGGGTATTTGTGCACCCATACAGCATCCCATTTCTTACGTCATTGTAGGGCAAGAATAATGCTTCTTTACATAGAGAGAACTATACAGTCTGTCATTGAACTTGAACTCGATTGACTCGTATACCTAGTTATGGGCCTGACTGTAAGCAACAATTGGAAACATCGCCTAGTCAGTGGAAACAATTTTTCGCTCCGTGATTTCAGATAAACCAGTGCGTCGTTCACTGATCGAGTTTCTTGATTGCAGTAGGCAGATAAAACTCTTTCATAACAAAATGCATATGCATATCGTGTTACATGTGAACATACTTCCTAATATAACTCGGCTAGAAATTCGTTTTTGCACTTTACATCTTAAAAATATAGTTTAGGGACCGGAGAAATATTGTAACTAATGTTAGCTATTTTGATCGAGA